AACACCCATAGCTTTTCTTAAATTATGGTAAATGACAACTAGATGACTACTTCTTTGAATGGCTAGTCAACTAGAAAAAAGATGAAGTTTTATAATTATCATTTAAGAGCTCATAAAGAGACGCTAAAATGCATTTGTGTGTCAAAACCATGTCAGTGTCCCCTGTTGCAGGTACGAAAGAAGGTATGCCACAAGGAAATGAATGCCAGTGTTCTTACTTGGTCTAACAAACCACACTTACAGGGCAACAGAGTTGTTTCAACTGAAACAAAGATTCCAAATATAACCGTAATAACGGCGTTTTAACTCTTGTTTTTACCAATAAAGACTAAACTGAGTACATTTCATACACAACTACTGCTGAAAAGAAACCATTGTGGCTCAATGTCCTGCCTTATTGGCTTGGTCAAAATAAGTAGTCGAGTACAACCAATCAAAGGTTCAGTAGACCATCGGCTTGGTCAAAATAAGTAGTCGAGTACAACCAATCAAAGGTTCAGTAGACCATTTCAATGTCCTGCCCACAGCATTAAGGATTGGTTGAAGCCTAGACCATGTTAAAGGCTACTGAGAGTCTGGCTGTTTTATCCATATATATATATATATATATATATATATATATATATATATATATATATATATATATATATATATACTATATATATATATATATATATATATATATATATATATCTCCCTTGTTCACTCCCTTGACAAGAACCTGGATTAATCTTAACTTGGACTGTAACTGACTACACACAAATAGATGAATGATTACCGAAAGATGCATAATTTTGCCATTCAGGTAAAAGCTACTTCATGGTATCGGTATACTCTATTGCCGATACTATATTTAAGTGCCAGTATCGGTGCAACAAATCTGTAGTTTTAGTATTTCATTTAACATTACGTTCAGTTGGTGTACGTTTTGTGTAGTAATTGTGTTCCTGTAAATATTCACATTACAAATTTAAAAACTGCATCAAATACATATCAGTTTTCAGTGTCTTTGTCTGCTAATAATTGGTTTCTGCTAAGAAAAACATATATTGGTCAATCCCTTTATGGGACTATGGAAAGAGCAGAAATTGTTGCTTGAAAATTATTTAAATTTCATTACATAACACAATACAATACATGTTTTTTTTCCCTGCACAAATGAACACAAACAACTACACCAGGTTTCTCCAACCCCACAGTAGGATTTTGTGCACACTGTACAACATTTAACAGGTTGAAACTAATAAATGTTGTGTCGTGAGAGCAGTACAGAATTTCATAGACTCTGAAAGTCATGTAGTGTCCACTAGGCCTTAGAAAAAAAAAACTACCGATGCAATATTTACAGAAAAGTATTGAGAAATATTTCAAGAAGAGGTCACACAAGGAGGATGAAAGAACTCAATGCAGGTACCTTGATTTGTGCAAATTCAGGCGGTCAGTGAAGCATTTCACAGTTACTGCTTAAGCTTAAGCCCTACTGAAAGAGTCAGAGTCAGAAGAAATGGCTATTTTTTAAGAATGTATGTTGGTCATTTCATCCAATGTACCAGAGCCAAAAAAAATAATTAAAAATAAATAAATAAATAAATAAAAACCTTCAGAAATGTCTCTAAATAGTCATCCTTTACGTCATTAACAAAAATTAAAAGTGACTAAACAACAGTAGGGTGCACAAAAGTGAAAAGTACATAAATGAAATACCAACAGATTTGTTATTACACTTGGTGGTGGAAGCTTTGTGTCATTACGTTAAATGTTTTCTGTTTTACTATCACTGAAAAAAATGAAAAATAAAACTGTAATTAATGGCCACTCTGACCGGAATCTTAGTGTTGTAAATGAGAAACTGTATTTGTGATAGCAGAGTGCAATCAATGTAAATAAGTGTAAACAATGAATTCCAATAATATTCAATAAAGTATATGAAGTACATACTATATCTCACTACTGCGTAAATAATTCCTTGAGTCACAACTGTGTATTTAGTGTGTTTTTAAAATCATAAACTAACAAAATAGAATCAAGTCATGGTGAGACTTCAATATGCACATCTTTTAATATATTTCAATTCTGTAAGTGTTTAATTGTAATCTGACTAAATTGCTTCAGACAGAACAATGTTCATCTTGAGAAAAGAGATCAGAAATAGCTAATGAGATTTTCTTCACATCAAAATGAAGTGACAAAAGGCCTTTACACTGCCAATGTCTGTGTGTCCTTAGTTCACTTCATTCTTTCACACTTAAAGTGTGTGTGTGTGTGGGGGGGGGGTCAGATATAAAAGACATTTCTGATGCTTCTCTTTAACATCATGAAGACATTTTTACATTTACATTTTTTTCCTCCATTTAATGTGCAAGTCATGTTTTAAACCCGAGTTACAACCAAACAGTGTAAGCAGAGAGCAGAGAAAAAACAAATCATTTCTGACCAAACGCAAAACAGGAAAATCTGTCTATAGTCCAGGAAGTGCTATCTAAACACACCACAAATGACTAAACCAAACGAAAGGTCACTGAAGACGGATAAAATTCAAACCATCAGATTACATCTGTAAAAAGGGAGCTTTAGGATGTTTTACCAAGATACGTTATTTCTACAATTGAGTGATCAATAATGATTCGATTAATTGACCAATGTAACTATTCAGACTTCTTGTATTCCTCTCTCTTTGCAGCATCTATCATTAAGTTCATCATCATTTAAAATTAAAATTTTTCCCATAATTAAGGTTAGCGATGGCTAATCGATTTTGTCAGCTAATTGTCATCGCCCTTGAGGCAGGTGGAAATAAGTTAGACCGGGGTGAACTGTTTTTGTTAGGGGGCAGATGGGGGGGTTGCAGTCACAGGCCACTGACTCAAACTGAACATTCTTTTGGCATGGTGCCTCAAGAGGAAAGCTGGACTTTTCCAAGCTACTGTAAAATTCTGGAAATAGGAGCATCTGGTGGCAACTGCAAAGAATATCATTACACTGCATTTCAACGAGTTCCAACTGCACTTCTTCCTGTACTCCTTCCACGTCAATGGCAGCAGTCTTGAAACCACTGGTTAAATTCTGTGATCAGTGACGTGAGCGCCATCACATTTTTTCCAATTTTTCCAGGAATGTTGACATTTGGAAAACGGGAGCTAATTTCCAAAGCAGGAAAAGGTGGCAGTTTTACAGTCACATAATTGCCTCACAAAAAGACAAAACTTCACCGCAAATGATTTCGTGTGCCCGCACATTAGAGAGGAGCATGTCTTCTCCTGCAGACTTTTATTCAGTTGGCCAGTGAGGTCAACTAAAAACGCTAGGTCTGCTAACCATACCTTCAATTCACTGGGTGACTGTTTCTTGTCAGAGTAATTTTGTGAAATTCTTTTCTGAGCATATTATACCAACGACTTTAGCGAGGCACTCTTTTATAAAGTCATCCACTAAAAAGTGTATCTTCTAAGCCGCTTATCCTTCTGGGTCGCAGAGGGAGCTGGAGCCTATCCCAGCGGTCATTGGGTGGAAGGCAGGATACACCCTGGACAGATCACCAGTCCATCGCAGTAACTGTATCAGTTTTAACTGCGTTTACACTTGCATTTTTATGTGGCTTATAAGCCTGATACTCAAGACACATGAAGTGACCAAGTGTAATCAGAGTCTAAGAGATGATGTTTTAAGAGAAGAAAACAGAACAAAACAAAACAGACTAAAACTGTCCAATCACAACATGCTATGTCAGGTTCATAAGATACTACCAGGACTCAGGAAGCATTTAGTAACAGAGTTAAATGTTTTAACTTTAGTAACAGAAACTTGTTGAGTTTTATCAATACCACCTAGTGCTACTGTACCCAACATAAACTGCTACACTATTCTCTTTAGTGCAGTACGAACTAGAAACCCATGATGACATCGAAACCATACTGGTATCAGCAGATAATTGTTTATGCTTAAATTAGACATCAGATTAGCTTATATTTGACTTATAATTCAAACTGATATTTGAGGTGACACTGGGTTACCACACTAACATGCCTGCATTTTACTGTATTTGTAAGGCTGTTCAAAGAAAGTTTACATTTCCCCGTAAAGCTAATCTAGAGGGATTTAGTCCAAGTTGCTCCAATTTATCTTTGCATACATATTAGCGTAAGCACCAGCATCGACAGTCCATGAAAATAATAGAGTATTGGCACAGAATTCCAATATCAGCGTAACATGGACGATGACAAATGTTGAGAATGGAGATCGGATATAAACAAACAATGAGAGCTGATGAGTTGGGGTAAAAAAAAAGGAAAAGTCAATCAGTTAAAAAAAAATCCAGAAAAGTTAACTAATTTACAGTGTTGCATGGCCACAGCATTTATAAATTTTCCCTTTCTGTACTTGATTGTGGCATTTACTACAAGTTCTCTCACATCCCACTGCATCATCTTCATCTACACCACCTTTTAATCCATTAGAAAAACCCTTTACTAATTTAGATCACCACACACAAAAAGAAACCTACATATAGTTTTATACATTTTTCAAGAGCTGAAAAGACAGAAAACTCTGGAATAACCTGCTATAGTTTGATCACCAACCATTCAAGTTTTCCAACCGATGTACCATTTTATTTTTACCTTAAAAAAGATTTTAAAACGTAAAAACAAGAGAATTAAGTTTAAATAGTATAAATCTGTTGTCACATATCAACGTGAAAAGTGCAATGACGAATGAACTTCCAAAGTCTTCTGCACAACACACTTTAAATTAATATCTAAAAACTCACTCCAACCACACTTCTGCCCACTTTTATGGCCACCTGCTTCACCTTAAAGGACCCAAAGGAAGTGGTAGAGTAACTATATAAAGTTCTTCAACTCCTAATAGCTCTACCAAAAGACGTTAAACAGCTCCCAATCTTAAAACCACATTAAGTTTCGATTGTCTTCCGCCGCAAGGAAAAAAGAACAGACAGAAATAAGAACAACTTCAGCGTGAAATCAAAAGCCAGATAAACTCACCTTCACCTAACGAGTGTCTACTCGACGCCCTTGTAGTTTTGTAGTTTTATCCTGCTCTACCTGAGCCAGGTGAGTTTCCCCTCAGCACGAAAAATAAAACGGTTTCCTTAGTTTTCATTCGTTGAGAGAAGTAGTGTTTTCGAGTACTTTCGGTGTGTTCTCCTCTGTCTCCAGTTTTCTCTCTTCCTTTTGTTGCGGGCTATCAGAAACAGGAACTTTGTAAATCGGCTCCAACCGGTGCGCCTTCGCTGCCGGGTCTTAACGCTCGGCGGGTTCCGGATGTTCATCGACATTCTGTTCTTTTAATCTTCAACGAATCTTTAGCTCGAGTTGAACCGAATCACTTCCACTGGACGACGGCTGGTTCTCATCTCGGTGCGCATGCGCACGGTGAACTCACGCTGACTAAACTATCAAACTCCCAAGTAATGGATAAGTGAACATCCTGGCTGTGTCCCAAATTGATCTATACTTACTAAAGTGGGCATTCAGACATTTTCTATTTCCCCATGCGGACATCACTAGTACCCGAATAATCCAAACCAGTGCATCTCAAAATATAGGAAACAAGTGTGCGTCCTGTTTAACTGGTTCCATGGCCAACAAATGTTATAATATACAGATAAAAAAAAATTAATTAGCGGAGTGTAACATAGTAAAACACACACACATACAATGAAAAGCACTTTATCATTTCTCTAATCAGGGGGTATTAATCATAAAATAAAATTGTTATTTCTTGTATATGTAAACTCCACTCCCAACAACATCATGTAAAAAAGATCATTCTTGAAAACACACACACACACACACACACACACACACACATATATATGGAGAAAAACTAAACTGCAGGTGCATTATAATATTCTCAAAGAGCAGATCTCAATCTACAATAATGCTATGAAAATATCCCAACAGTCATAGCTCTCTGGGGTAATTAATAAACACAAAGATAATACCAAAGTCCATTCATTTTCTACCATAGGCTGACTAATTAACCCTCCCTTTTCTGCTAGCATGTCGCATGGTGATTTATCCTCTAAAATTTGTGGAGTTTGCAATTCATATTCAAAATGAAATAGCCTTGATAAAACAGAGCATAGCTCAGCCAGCTGAAACAAGCTTCTATAACCTTCCTAATAAGCCAACTACATCAGTGATGAAATCTTTCTCTGTTATCAAGAATCAGGAGCTTACAACTGTTATAAACAATATAAGCCTCTACTAAAGGACTAGCATGGATCTTTCCATAATTAAGAAACGTCTTAGAAAAAGTTGTTTTCAAACAATTAAATGTGTATCTAATATCAAAGAAGTTATATAAGAAGAGTTAATCAGGTTTTCATTCTAACCATAGTACTGAGACAGCATTGGTTCATGTTGTCAATGACCTCAGGCTCAGCGCTGATGGATAAAAATCCTCCTATTCTGGTGTTATTGGATCTTAGAGCAGCTTTTGATACTGTTGATCACAAGATTTGTCTTGAATGCTGGGTTGGCCTCTCAGGCACAGTTTTAAAATTGTGTAAATCATAGTTAGTTAATAGACTGTAATGGTTTCACTGGGAAATTATTCTTAAAAAAAAATTTACATTTCTTGTGGAGTTCCACAAGGTTTAGTTTTAGGGCTGTTGCTTTTCTCTTTGTACATTACCTCTCGGTGATGTCATTAGGAAACATATTAATTTTCATAGCTATGCTGACGACACACAATCATACAGTACATTTCCATTCCTTATGATAATCAAGACTCTGTTGACAGGCTTACCAGCTGTGTGTCAGATATTTTTCACTGGATGTCACAATTTTCTACAACTAAATCACTAAAAAACTGAAGTACTTATCCTTGCTACCAAAACTCAGAGAAAGCTGCTTTATGAGAAGCTTGTTCAGAGAAGTGTTCTTCAGCTTAATATACCAAATCGGAAGTACAAAACCCGTTTTATCCCGCATGTAAAAGCAATCACTAAAGTAGCTTTACATCTTTTGAGAAATATTGCTCAGCGTTTTCTATCTTAGAGCAATGCAGAGAAACTTGTTAATGCTTTTGTTACAAGCAGAGTTGTTTACTGTAATGCTCTTCTTACTGCACTCGCTACCTGTATCATTCAGGATAGATTTTAAAGTTCTGCTACTAGTTTTTAAGGCTCTAAATTACCTAGCAACCACTTACATCACAAAGTGTCTATCTGTATATGTTTCAGCACATAATCTAAGATCTGCAGATACTGGCATTCTGCAAGTACCTTCCATAAAATACAGGAAACATGGAGAGACCTCTTACACTATGTTAGCAGTAAGGGTGTCTCCCTCGACCCTGCAAAGATGTTGATTGTCCAGCAATGGTCTTCCCCGAAGTGTTAAGTGCAATACTTTTTAGGATTTGTGAGATATTATAGGCGATTTAGCAAAGACTTTTCAGAAAATGCCAAGCCTTTAGATGGACTGTTGAAGGGCACAGGCTGTTGCAGATTGTGTGATTCCCCTCATGCTCTTTGGATCCTGAAATGTGAGACTGTACAATAGGAGTTTGCACCCAGCTGAAAGAAATGATTCTAAATTCAGCTGTTTTAAACTGCAGCTTCTTGCCTTGAAATGGGCAAAGAAAAATTCAAAGATTTTTGTGGGGTGCCAAAATCATAGTGATCACAGACAATGATCTGCTGGTTCATTTGAATACAGCTGAAACAGAAATGGGTGAACAGAGATGGGTGGCCCAGCTGTCAAACTTGTACACAACCTACACCGATTACTACTACCATAATTTCTTTTAAAAATCAAATAGAAAAAAAAAACACAAATTCACACTTGTCACACCAAACACAAAAGAAAATTACATAATTATCTAGCACTATGCTCAGCGGATAATAAAACCACTATGAAGCAACCTGCCTTTCAAAATGTAGGACTTAGGGAGGCAACAACTGTCATGGGGCAATTAAATGAAATCAAGCTACACCAATTAAAAGAAAAAAACAAAAACAAAACACAAGCTTCTTTCCAGTAACAAAGGAGAGAGTACTTAACTTTAGGAAGTACCCTCGTCCTCAGCACGCTTCCTTTTGGCTTCTGTCTTCCAGAACGTCACAACGACAAGCCTCTGTCTCGCCGAGCTGAAGAACTCCCCTTCTTCAGTTCGGTAGCTTCTGCTGGGAGCACAAAGGCACGCTTAAATGAACAAAACAACAATTTCTAATTGTACAAAGCAAGTGATGCTTAATTCTGTGGAAGAGTGAGTCGTGTCCTCACTCTTTCCTCCGATATCTGCAGTCTCTCGCTCAGTCCCCCGCCTCCCTCTCTCTCTTTCTCTCCCTACCCCCCATCTCTTTCTCCCACACAAGGTGTGAAACACAGGGGGTCCTGTGGGGTCCATGACCTCCTAATTGACCTTTTGGACACTTTGAATGTCTCAAGTTCAAAATTTTGGGGGTTCCCAGAAGTAAGCCTTTTGTGATAATATGTTGTCCGCTGGGGAAAAAACGATGCTCAAATCCATATTCAGGGAGAGGTAATTGTTTAGCAGCTTCACCCACAATCTGCAAACTTTCATCTTTAGTATTCTTAACTAACTAGAGATGCAGCACTGGTCTGGTTTAGGGTGGCGCTGGTTCACCCAGTTGGTCATTCATAGCCTAGCAACTAATTTGATTTAGAATTATTGACCAATTGTGTTTGCACACAGAGGAATTAGAACTCCACATTTAACCCATCCGTGCAGTGAAACACCCACATACATGCACACTAGTGAACACACACACACTAGGGGGCAGTAAGCACGCTTGCCCGTGGTGGTGGGCAGCCCTATTCACAGCGCCCAGGGAGCAGTTGGGGGTTAGGTGCCTTGCTCAAGGGCACTTCAGTCACATCCTGTCAGCTCAGGGGATCGAACTGGCAACCTTCCGCTCACAAGGCTGGTTCCATAACCTCCAGCCCACAACTGCCCCAACTGTTACTATGCCTGGGATACCTCTAAAAAGTTTCCTTTGCCGTAGCATATTTGTAAATTTGAAAACATAAAGAAGAGAGTGGTGGAAAGAGTAAATTGTTACTCATTTCTTAAACCGAGGACAAAGGAGGAGATGTGTAAGTTAATGTGAGTTCATTAGCAAACCATAAAAGAGCATTTCCAGAAGAAGTAATATTACACCAACCATTTTGTTGCTATTACAACAAGCATCAACATCACTATGGTGAGTTAACTAGCAGCCAGTCAACACTGGAGTAGCCAAAATAAAGGAAAAGCCAACATGAAGTAAGTAGTAAGGTGTTGGTCCACCACAAAGCACCTGGAACTTAATTGCACCTTGGAATAGATTCTATAAGTTTCTGGAGCTGTACTGGAGGGACATTAAGATATTTCTTAAATTGGTGTTTTGATGGTGGTGGTGGAGAATGAGCAATACAGTGTTATAATAGACGTGGCTGCAGGTTTTCACACCAGCCCTTTGTGGATAAGACAGGACACTGCACTGGACACAGCCAAATGCCCCCCGCAAAATAGCTGGGCCATGGGATCTCCTCACTATAGGGGACACGTCTTCAGGCCTGAACCGTTCTTTTGGGGTATGCCACATATTCACTTGCCCACATGAGGACCATAATCACTTTTTCACATCTCTGTAGACCAGTGTTTATGGTTTTTGTACCTCTGAACAAATGTTTATTTGCCTTTGTAATGAGGGGTTTCTGACTGCAGCCCTACTATAATATCCCTCTCTGCAGCTGTGGACAGATAGTTCTTCCTGACGTGCTGCGTTGACATTCTCGGTCACTTGAGGTACAGTTGCTCTTCTGTTTTTCCTTAAACTAATACAAAATCATCTCATTTATTGAATATTTGCTTTGAACCACAATTTCCAACCCTATTTACTGATGTCTTTCCCAAATATAAACAGATACTTCAAAAGCTTTGTTTAAAAACAATAGCCACATTGTACTGATACTCAGATTTGACCAATATTTCACACTGATATTTGATGATGTATTTATTGTAGTCTGGAAGAGGAGAACACTCAGGTGATGCTAGACTACTGTGCTAAAATGTCTGCATTTTATTTATTTTACTGCATTTGTAATCCTCCCCAAATGTTGTATTTTTCTGTTAGGCTGATCATGGTGGATTCCCAATATCTCCACTTTATAATACATTGGCAGTGTAAAGATATTTACATAAAAAATATCAGATATTGGCATCAGCTGAAAATTATGTATCAGATCATCCCTGATGTTAGATACATAAAGATTGTTTCATGATAATTTGATGAATATATTTTGAAGACTAATCCAGCATCTTAAGAAAAACATTCAATTCAATTCCTCAAGGAGCGATTGCAAGGATTATTTCACCTCTACGGTGCGTAATATCATCAAAAGATTCAGAGAATCCAGATAAATCTCTGTGCTGAAAACCACAAGTGAATGCCTGTGACCTCTGATTCCCCAGACAGCACTGCATTAAAAACCGGCATGCTTCTGTAAGGGATATCACCGTGTAGTACTTTGACAAACCACTGTCAATAAATCTACAAATGCAAATTAAGACTGTACTATGCACAATGCAATGTATGCTTGTGTATGGGTCATTCTCTGAACAGGGTGGAATTTGGATTGAAAAAAAGAAAAGAAATTCATAAATTCTTAAAATGAAATATCTTACAACATTTTTCAATATCATATGTACTTTTAACGAGTCAGGAATCTAGCATGTATGTCTCTGGTGTTATCATACAGAAAGTCATTTTCTGAAAATGTAAATTTTCACAGGAATACAGTGAATGAAGCAATATACAGTTTTCATTATTCACTTAAAAAGTTGTGTAACATAAATACAGCATTTAAATGGTTTCATAGAGTAGATAAAAGGTTTTAATTTGATTTATTAAATAATTGTAAGGAGAATATAAAACTTACCAATATTTATTTGTAAAGATATTAGAGATTCAAGGATTGTTTGGTAGATCGTAATCCATCCAAAAAAATTGGAAAGATTTCAACCCAAAACTGTAACACCAGTGTCACTTTGCAACAACAACAGAAACATGTTACACCAGTGACAACACAACTGCTTTTTTGCAGCACAAAACCATTTAGCCAAAATAGCAATACTGTTAGAAAATTAGACTGTTGGTCTTTAATGTGCATATCGGTTAATGGAGTTCATCAAATGTGAACCTCTGACCCTGTGTAACACCATGTCAGTGGCGTTTCAGGCGCAGGCTGTGATTCCAGTGACCTTGCCACCAGTGGCACCTCGATGAAAGCAGTGGATTATCTCAAAATGGCTGACAGATGCAGGGAAAGTAACCTTGCTTAAAAACATTAAATTAGTAATCACTTTTTTTTATAAAATACTTTAAAATAAATATCACATACTTCGATTTTAGAAAGTATAACATCAGTGACAGACAGTGTAGTCTGAAGTGCAAAATAATATAAATTCATGAAAAATGGGGCAAATGCATCTACTTCTCATTCAAAGCTCTGAAATGACACTCTCCATTGACCTTGTGAACCTAAAAAGCAGTTGTAAATTCAACCGTATTTACAAGCAAATGATTTAAACCCTATATTTAATTCAAAATAATACAAAGATAACATATCAATGTTAAAACATAGAAATGTTATTGTTTTTTGAAAAATATATGCCCATTTTTAATTTCATACCAGCAACACATTTAAAAAAAGTTGGGACAGGGGCAACAAAAGACTGCTAAATTTGTGTAAAGCTAAAAAAAAATCACCTGGGGGAACATCTCACAACTAATTAGGTAAATTGGCAACAGGTCAGTAACATGATAAAGTATTAAAAGAGTGTCCCAGAGAGGCTGAGTCATTCATAAGGAAAGACAGGTATGGGTACAGCACTCTATGAAAGACTACATGGGCAAATAATACAACAATCCAAGAATATTATTTCTGAATGTTAAATAGCAAAGAACTCATCATATATAGTACATAATATCTTTAAAATATTCAGAGAATCTGGAGAAATCTCTGTATGCAAAGGAAGTGGCTGAAAACCAATATTGGATAGCCGTGATCCTCGGGCCCTCAGGCAGCACTGCATTAAAAACAGACACAATTCTGTAGTGGAAATTACTGCATGGGCTCAGGAACACTTAAAAAAATCACTGTCTGTGAACACAGTTTGTCGCTGCATCCACAAATGCAAGTAAAATCTCTACAATGCAAAAAAGACCCCATATATAAACAGGATCCAGAAACACTGCCTCCTTTTCTGGGCCCAAGCTCATTTCAGATGAATTGAAGCCAAGTGGAAAAGCATCTTGTGGTCTGAAAAAACAAAATGTGAAATTCATTTTGGAAATCATGGACGCTGCATCCTCCAGGCTAAAGACGAGAGGGAATATCCGGCTTGTTATCAGCACACAGTTCAAAAGCCAGCGTCTGTGATGTTATTGGGGTGCATTAGTGCACATCTGTGAAGGCAACATTAATACTGAATGATATGTACAGATTTTGGGGCATTATATGCTGCCTTCCAGGTGATGTCTTTTTAGAGGAATGTCTTGCTTATTTCAGCAAGACAATGCTGAATAAACAATCAGTTTCAACATTTCATATGTTCAATTAAATATAGGGTTAAATGATTTGCACATCATTGCATTCTATTTTTATTTACATTTTGCACAGCGTCCCAACTTTTTTGGAAACAGGGTTATAATTGAAAATGGGGCAATATTAATTTTATTGGGAAATCAATTGAGACAATAATAATTTTAATAAAATGTTATTTTTAATAATGTTTATGAAAACCTGATTATGTTTTATGAAAAAGATATCTATTCCTAATAATTTAGGAATAGCATGACTGCATAATCAGAGAGTTAAATATTATGTTTTTGTTAAAGGTCAAACAAATTTATCACTACTCTCTGTTTTTATTAGTATTTTACATATTGTCTCAACTTTTTTGAAATGAGGTTTGTTTTACAAGAAAAGTCGTATTTTCATATGGGCAACATTTCCTGAAAATAAAAATTTTAATACTGCATTTTTTGCCTTTAACAGTAATTTGTATATATTTATTTTCTGGGAAACAGAATGCCTTTTTGATACTTAAAATGCAACAAATAATTATGCAGGCTGTAGATTGTACAGACTAGTTATTACCCATCTTGTGGTATTTGACATCCCTCATAAGAGTATAGTTGTGGAATCATAAATGGAATGTAGTGTTTTAGAGCAGGAAAGCTATGCTGTGTAGCAAGGAGGAAATGGACAGAAAAACTCAGCAAACCTTTTCATTTATTGTTTTATTCTTATTTTTTCTGTACAGACTGTGTCAGAGACACACAAGAAGATGCTATGTACAGATGTTTTACAACATTACTGTTTCTACTGATGGCACGATCATAGGTACTGTACAATCATATGAAAATTAGTTATTACTTCAACAAACACCTGTACATTACCTGATACAACTTTTTTTTTTCCTTTTTGCAGCCTATTGCACTCAGTGCTGATAATCGTCAGAAGGACAAATGTAACATGAAATCTGACAGTATAAATATGAGGTATGGTTAATAGGCCCATATCCCACATATTTGTTCTCCTATGATAGCATGTGTATGGTTTATGGACCCCTTTGTCCCTTAGAATTAAACAGGATGGTTGTTACTGTGCCTTTAAGACTGATACATGTAAATAATCTCTGTCTTGATTGACTACCCTGCATTGTGCCGCATTCAAAAAGCAGTATATGCTGACGCACGCTATAAAACTTCAACATGAATTGGTGGGGCTAAGCTGCTGTTTACTGAGTAGGCTAAATATATGCAAATGTGTTGGTTTTTCTAACCTAACAAAAACAATGAATTCAAAACAGGCTGTTTTTGCAGTTTTGTTTCAGTCTAGACTGTATGGACTGGGGCTTGAACAGCACATTTTGAAACTTGTTTACCATGTTTTATCATGTTTACATACCATATTACTTTCTTCTATTTTAAAAAGTGAGGAAATTTTTTTCTTTAGTTTCCCACTGGAGCTATGAGGCTAATGTAGCTAACATGGAAACTTATAGCTGGAAGTTTTTAATGGTGCAATCAGCATGCCTAAATCATACATCATGTTAAATAATCTCAAATATAAACTTGCTTATGTAGTTTCTGACATTGCATAACTATAAAAATGGACAAAAGTATAAAGCATTGCTAAAAAAAAAAGCAGTAGCAGCCATCTTGAAGCATGAGTTTTGTCAGTACTTTTGTCCATTCCTTCGACACATGTCTTAAAAGACATCTGATTCAACTCAACAGCTAGTTAGCAAGGCCTTCAATTGAATTCAGAGCATAAGAAAGCAGCAACTGCTAATCTCCGCAGAGCTGTAGCACAGTATAACAAAAATAGCTTATACTGTCAAAAGTTGGCTTAGAGTTATCACAGAGTCAACTTCTCACATGTAGAACTGTAAATGTTAAAAGCTGATGCTAAATAAAGCTGACACTGTGACTTTATTTTAGTTTATTCCACATTACCATAATTATGTCTCTGCGTTTAGCCATGCAACCTACTGGCTAGTCAGTGTTTAGTAGGTGTATCAAATAAAATGGGCAATGACTGTAGGTAAAAAGTTATGTGTACCTGATAAACTGACAGACAGACCGTTCTTACCCAGTCCTACTTGATGTTTTACTGTGCTACTTGACTGCCTAACATGAGTACTGTTGCACCACTAGGCAAACTATGATAGCTGAGGTTAAAAAAGATATCATTTGCAATGTTACCTTGTCAAGCCAACACATTTGCATTCCATTCACTGAGCATAAAACAATTTACCTAGTGTAGAAAACAACTACCACTCATTTGATGATTTTACCCACACTGGCTAAAGATTTTCCTTAATTGACCAAAGCATATTTTTTAAAATTATGCTTATAATAGTTCTCTGCAGTCATTGTCATGCTAATATTAGTAACTCTTGGTCTGAACAGTTTTTTGCCCCCAAAAATTAAAAGACATTTTCAAAAATCACCACTGTCATGTTATGTGCCAAAAATGCTCCAAAGCTGATTTTTAAAAAATATTTAGATGCAACAACAGCATTCATCACTGTCATAAACAAAACCAGTTTAGACCCACAATTCCAAATAGGGGCATGACACCAGAGGCCTATGGATGCTGCAAGATTTACCTTGAATTATTATTCATGCTGAATTCTTATTATTAAGTATAAGTAAATGTGTTACAGTAACAGCCTAGCTAAATACAACATTTTCAGCCAAACTGCTCCACAGACAACTGGCAACTTTTTATGCAAGGTTAGGTCATATGTACACTGTGAGTTTAACACGTCAACTTTTGACAGCATTAACTATTTTTGGTATAGCAAAAGGAACCCATATTGACACACTTGCTTAAAAAGCAATGAGTAAATTGTAATATTGATGTAAAGTCTGAAGAGTGAGATTTTGCTCCCCAGTTTTGCAGCCTTTTAAGTTGAAAGATCAGTTTTCATTTGACTGGCCTGAGGCCTTTTTTGAAGGGTGTGTACTTACTCTGCTCCACATTCATCTGGATTTCAGTAGTGGAATTTTACAAAAACCTAGTGCAAGACAAAGTGATATCTCATCTGTAACATACGCTTAAAAAAATCTTCCATTTCTCATGGGAAAGCTAGCTAGCTGTGCCTATTTGGGTGCCTTGTTTTTAGCCTTGCTAAAAATTTATTGCTAATGTGATTGCTAGTATTATTAATACACCTTACTTCCTTAATAATTTTTTTAGTTGTGAGCTATAGGGTCCTGCAAACTGTCAAAACCTGATTGAGAGTGTTTCCAATTCTGTATTGTATTGGATTTAGCTGTAGAATGTCTAACAGTGTTGAATGGTATTTAACAAAGTGCACTGGCAGAGTGGACTGTCATCCATGCACTGCTCACAAATGTGCTCTTTCACAGCTTCTCTTATAGTGCACACTTTTTTATTATTAAATTATGTAAGTTTAGAGCATATTATTAATTTCAAACAATATTTATTTTGTATGCATGTGAAATGTACACTTTTAGGTCAAATCAGATGTATTTTTTTTTTGGTCATATAATTCAGCTAATATTAGCTTGGTAGAAAATTCCTCACTGTTGCTTTCAATCTGGCTATTTTTAATAAATCTAGTAATCTAATAATCTAGTAAATCTGAACAGCAATCTAATCTTTCCCAGCGTACTGTAAAGCTAGTTCAACCACGAGTTTGTTTGGGTGTGGGAAATGGGATCCTATGTCAGCTTTAATGAACATTTGGGTCATATTTTTCTGTTTTTTCACTATGCTAATGATGCTAAGGTATGGCAAGTGGCCACACACATATGCTACCCTGGGAACGCTTCATTAGTGATTGAAGGTAATTTCCCTGTGTGATTTTTCCACCACTGGACACACATTGATCAACTGTGTTCTAGTGAAGTCACAGTGAAATATGTCTTAAGTTAAACAACTGAGGTGTTAAACTGAACTGCATGCATGATAAGATATGATGAAGCCTTAAAAGTAGTACAATAAAAAAACCCAAAAATGTCACTTTCTTTGTGTTCTGCATTCATTTTTTGTACAATGTATGTACTTCAGTCTACATTGAAGTGACAGAGTGGCTTGTTGTTTTTTCTTCTTTTAAAACGAAGAGAGATGATCAGATTATTCAACGCTACAAAAAAGAGGTATGTTGCATGTGAAATCACCTTAAGTCTATTCAATACATCTAATATTTGTAAGAATATTTTAAGATTATTCTATTCATTTGTAGACTTGTTTAATTGTTTTTTTTTTTCACTGGAAGCTAATTTTGCTTATTAAAAACACTCTGTTCTTATCTTATTCCATTGGTGGATATATATATTTTTTAAACAAGCAAAATGATCTACCAATGGAATCAGACCATTGAATTAGACAATATTACTAAAACAAGTAAACATAACTAGAAATAGATTTAGTAATATTATTATTATTATTATTATTATATTTGTTTTCATTCTTAAAACCATCTTATAATCACAAATATTAGATATACTGACTAGATTTAAGACGTTTTCACATTCCATGTTGTTTTGCAGTGAAACCACCCCCTCACATACTTGTTCCTCATGTAATTTGTTGTTTTAATCCAGTAAGTGCACACAATACAGAACAGTACAATGGGTTCATATTTAATGCTAGTGAAAGGACACTGGAGCATCTGGTTTTGATTCCAGCTGGCTCTGACCTCAGGTCAGAATGAGCTTATGTGAGTGGTAGTATGTTAATTACTATCAAAGTATATGATTTTTTAATATATACATACTTATATGTATAGAGCATCTGTTCCTTCTCTTGGTGAAATATACATAAAACCTTTCATAGAGAATTTACACTTTACACATTATAATCCCTTCTAAGCACATCTGGTGCATTAAAAATGTGTAAAAAGTAAAAAATAATAAAATCAATAAACAAATCACAATCTGAGCAGGAGAGTGTTTCACAAAGCAGAATTCCTAGGTTTCCAAATTAAAGGTGTACCCTGCATTCTAATCTCTATTTGATGCATTTAGTAGAACATGATCAGTTACCACAGATACAAAATTCAACCATCTCCCTGTACGTAGGAAAACTAGTTATTAAACCAGTTGACTGGAAACACACTTTGAACAGAGGCCAGTGGGTAGTTGCTGAATTCCATTATTAAATGTTTTTTGTGAAACGTGTTTTTGTAGAACACACTCATGAAGGTATTTGTAAATTAAGCTGTAAATTTGAATAATTTGTTGATTCAGATATGGGACTAGTTTTCCAGAGGGAAAAAATTGAGGCAATTCATTGCTATCTTAGTGATTCAATCCATCAGTTAGTGTGATTGAGCAGGCAAATAACCAAACTGTGCTGGGTTCTGGTCTTCCAGGATTAGACTTAATGACCCCTACCATAAGGAAAGTAAAACTAACTGGAGTTGCTGCTCCAGTGCTGAAACGTTTAACAAAATTTTATAAACTGCTATCTGCCCAGTGGTTTCTAATGTAATTATATTTAGAGTCAGTAGGTTTTCTGTTGTTTTCTAAGTAGTGGGAAACATGGTGAAATTATTATGTCTGGTAACTGCCTGTGCATTTGAGACTTAGCAGATAGAGCTTAGGTTTGAAAAATGGCAGTGAATTCCTTTAAGCCAAGTTTGTCCAATTAGAAAAGAGCCTTTTCGGCTTTTGGATCAAATTTTTCAGCTTACTGAGAAATCTCGTTTTGTGAAAAAACCCTAGATGTCCTCACTGCTAGATTTTGTTTATGGTCACCAAATCTTAGTTCCAAAACGATGACCTGAACATGTTCTTTCAGAGAAGTGCCATTTGTTTCATATATTTCCTCAGGTTTCCCTGCTCCTAGACGTTAGTGATCTCTATGCTGGAGTAGCCGTGCATGGGGCTGCCCTTTGCCCTTGGAAGGGCCTTGATCCGCTCCTCTCTGGGCAAGGACCCACAGTTGCCATGGAAACCGAGGTCCCGTCCACCTGGGATTTTGGGGTTGAATCTCAAGGGGCTCTGAAGAGAAGTGGACAGTAAATTTATCCAGTTATGCATCACCAGTAACTACTGTTCAAATGATTCATATCACTTGTCATGTTAATAATTTTGGTCATTTTATATACAAAAATAATTTATATGCTACATCGTACATTGTGCGTCAGACTCTGTTGGAGTTCAGTAAATATTACATTTACATTTCAGTAGCAGCTGTTTTTAGTGGATTTATTAAGCATCAGGCCGCAAAATACTGTTGCTCTCTGAAGCAGCTGACCGCTGGAGGTGCACCGCTGGCAGAGCCAGTGGACTAGTGGGCTGCTATGCTAAAAGCTAAACCAAGGCTAAAGCCTTTCTAATGTCCACTCCTTTCATAACAACCTGGACTAACATTAACTCAGACTGTAACTGACTACCCCGCTGGAGAAGATCAATGACAGAAGCCTGACTCAGGTAATCAGGCAATGAGCTACTGTTAGCATGTTCTACACTGTGTATATATTGTGCGACATGGCTTATTTGTGGCATACCAGTGAAACTAATACCTCAGGACAAATTCCAACTGGTATGTCACCCACTACCACTGCCTTCCCATAAAATACTGCCATTGTAGATTTTACCGTTAGCATTTTTACTGCTGCTTGTCAACTCACACCAGCGACATGCGTTAAGTACTGGTGCGCATGCACAAATCAGTAGCATGCAAGTATGTCAGAAATTGCTTTGTGGTGCCAGTATCCCCAGCGCTGATACTGAGTTTCAATATTGGCACCAATACTGATACAGTATCGGTATCAGTACAGCCCTAGTACTTACAATAATAACAAACTGAGCCAGTTCTGAGCACATTATGGATTTACATTATTTAAATTGCAGAGTGTTGCTTGAAGTTAAGCCATAATGCCTTATTATAATTTTTGTCATCTCTGTCGAGTCTTGATTACCACTTATATATAAGGTATTCTGGATACTAATTTTATTATAACATCATTCTGTATATTTATTTTATAATAACATCGTTCATTTTACTCTAACATTCATTATAACTTTATTCTTTAATCTCATACAGTTATTTAGAATCAAGTGCAATTCTGTTAATCATTAACACATTTCTTTATGTCTCAGTATTTCTCCTTTATTTCCCCTAATTTTGTTCCTGTTTAGCATAATTTGAAGCGCCTCTTTACATTGTGTTAAAATTTCATGATCAATTGACAAGTAGAAAGGGTACAAATTGCTTCCATCAAAAGTTGTTTTTTTCTTTCTTCTGTATCATTTTGACTATATGAGTTTTTGTTCTGACAGTGACAGTTTGGAAGCTGTAAAGTTGCAAAGATATATTGCTTTATTGTAAACACTGATTCCAAACTTTTCAATAGTACTGTGTTTTATCTGTATGTTGTGTATGGGTGTCTTTAAGCCTTTACCTTGCCTGATCTGGGCCTGAGAGTGACCCGCTCTTCAGCATAGTGGCAGCTGGAGGCCAGTGAGTGTGTGGGCGTTCCTTCCTTACGGTTGTACTCCTGATTCTGATTGGTCCTGTGGAGAGGGAACATCCAGATTTTTTTTTTCTATTGATAACAGTGTATCGTACAGTGTCAGAAACCACATTAGCTAGTCTATTTGAGATTACTTAACAACTGGACAGTTGCCAATGTATTTGTGGAGTATAAGCTTCCATTACTTGTTGTCTAGACTACCCTCATGCATGCTCCAGTGTAACTAAAGACTTTAGACAATGAATATGTCTTGGCTGATGGGCTACATTTGTAGAAACAGTGGTTTAATAGTGAATGTTTGTTGTTGTCACAGACAGCAGTGTGTTATACTTTGTGTTAGCGGATGTATACTGACCTTGCCGGATTCAGCAGCACCTTCATCTCCTCGTACAGATGCCGGTGGATCATGTGTTTGTTGTTGGGGATCTCCAGGGCTTTGGCCATGCTTTCTGCACTGAAGGACGGATCCAATACCATCACAGCTCCGTGGACCCCACTGTTCTGGAGGCTGTCAGCATATTCCTGTACAGTGGAGGGGATTCAACATTTAACACTAATGTGCACAAGAGACAAATTCCTGCCTACATAGGGGGTTGGGGTACTGAGATGAAATAGCTTTATTGTATTGAACTTATCCTGCAGTTCTGATTTATTTTAAATAACTACTATGAATTATCCAGAAATACCCAAAAATCATTCAGTAACTACTATAAATTATACAGTACCTACTATGAATTTTTCAGTAACTACTGTAAATTATCCAACGTTATTTTACTCATAGTAAATATATTTTGGCCACATTAAAACTTTTATTATTTTATTGTTATTAAAATATTAACATTAATATTATTTTAACATTTAAATGTTGTGTCAAAGCTCCAACGTCGCACAATAATGTAAAATATAGTACACAGCATACTAGTAAGATCTCACTGTTTCTGCCACCAAAATGAACACCATTTCATAGTAAGCTGAAGGTTTGATCTGGTATGCCTCATGCGCCAAAGCGCCTCATGACTCCAAAGATGCAGTGAGTCAAACATCTGCACTGTGAGAGGAGGAGACAAACAAAAGATTTCACCCACAGCCTGAGTCAGAACATATACAAAAGTCAGGGACTGACAGCTATGTTTGCCTTCAATCTCTTTGGCGCATTTTGCTCAGTGCGAAAACAGAGAACGAGAATTCGCACCTTTAGGTCAATGTCTCTGACCCATTTAATGACCCTCTGGCTGGTCCACACCACAGGGTCCACATCTTGCTGCTCACACTGAACACGCCGGGTGTGCAGAACCTTAAGAAAAAAGATTAGGAGATTGGGAAGATTTCTTCAGACAAAATAAGAAGTTGACTTGAGAGGACACATGCAATTACTTTCCCAGTGATGGACAGGAAGGAAATATCTCTGCAGTTAACCCGGTCTGCCTTTGTCCTTCTTTCTTAAATATTATAACAATTAAGGCAACTCTGAAATCTTTGGGTATTTGCTCCCTCTGACAAAATTTCAGGGTTAAGACATGCATGTGCTACAGGAGATCAGTTCTACCCTCGGCTCAGAACAAGAGGGGCAAAAGTGACATTTTGGGCCATACATATTAAATTAATGGTCCAGTGTGTAAGATTTAGGGGGCATCTATAAGAAGATATGGAATACAGTATACAAAACCATGTTTTCATTAGTGTATAATCACCTATAACTACGCATTGTTGTGTTTTTTTTTAGCTTAGAATGAGCTCTTCATATTTACATAGGGAATCTAGAACATACAAACCAAATGCTGGCACTAGAGAGTGCCTTTTGAGTTTTTATGTTGAAGTGGCAGCTTGAATTTGGTGGTGCTATAGAGTAATCAGGCCTGCTGCCAGTGCTGGCTCACAACTGAGTGGTGTAAGAAGTTTGATAACCCAAATCTAATCTAATGCCAAAAAAATAAAAATAAAAAAAAGTTTTTCATTCAAATATGAATGTAGTTTGTAATCAATGTGTCTTACGTCCTTCTGGTACCAATTCTTCAGTTTCATTAATGTAAGCTGAATCTTTACAGATTTGAGAGTTTACTTAAAAGGGGGAATATGGTAGATCAAAATAGTTCAAAACTGCTGCATAATTCAATTATTGAGATACAACTTAAAGTGATTTGATGTTAGATGGTGGATTGGAATTAAACTTACTAACTCTGCTTTTGTTTACAATGGTAATATAGGTACCAGGGGTTGTGACGTCTACATTTTATTTGCTATCCAAAGTCACTTTGAATCTGCACGTCTTCTGTTTTTATATATTTTACATTCAGATTTCTTTACAGAGGTGCTGATAGGAATCATGGATCACAAATCACAAATATACTCATTGTATACTGCCCTAAATGACCAGTCAACCTCTATTTCTCCTCTGAGTTTGTATATGTAATGTTGTTAATGGTAAATTAGTGTTAAATCTGAAAAATATGTTTTATCTTACAACAACTTATCTCTCTGCCGTGAACTGATTTTAAAAATCTAAGTTTTCGGCCAAAACTTTATCTCAAAACTATTGCAAAACAATGTATCAGGCAGCGTATTCATTACTGTTTCATGTAATAACTTTTGTGTGAGGATCTTTCCATCTGAGTCCAAGAGCCCACTGACTGAGTGTAACACCCACTGCCTGTGTGCCAGGTCATGACTAAGAGCTCCCAAGTTTCTGTTATCAACAGGTCTTAAAAATGGGACCCGTCTGGAAAAGACACTTTCATACAATACATACTCAAATATACACACGCGCACACACATGCATTAAATCTTGATATGAAAGTCACTGCATCCCTCTCCTCTCTCTCAGACTGTGAGTAAACGGACACTTAAGACCGCTGTTTCACCTCTTTATCAAAGCTGAGCATCTGTAGCAGCTGTATTCCTGATAGCAGGCTGGTGATGTGGAACTTGTTGTTGATGTTGAAGATGGTCTCTAGGTCCCGACGGGTGAGGGATCCCAAAACCCGGCCGTCCACCAGCTGGTTCTGGAACAGCTGCGAATACTGAGGCAGGCCAAGGTCACTCAGCCACGTCTTACACACCCACTGATGATCCATGTCTGCTGCTTTGGACAGTCTGAGGAAGAAACACTACTTTAATATTTTTACATAACCTTATATAAACTGTATAACATTGAGAATGAAATTGTAATAAAGTTAATATCCCGAATGCCTCATATCTAAAAAGTACTATTCAAATTTCAAGGCAGATAAGTTGACAAGAAATTTTTGAACTGACCTTAGTTCCGAAAGAAGTTGGGATGTTGTGAGATATGCTAATAAAACAGAAAGCTGTGATTTGTAAATTCTGTGCTGTATTAAATTGAAAACACTCCAAATACACACGTTGCTTGAAATTTTTATTTTGTAAATATACGTTGATTCCAAATTTGATGCTCACAACACATTGCAAAAAAGTTGGGACAGGAACATGTTTACATGTTACATCATCTTTGATTTAAACGACACATAATAATTGTTTGGGAGTGAAGACACCAATTGATCCAGTTTTAAGAGCAAAATGTTTTGCCATGCTTACGTTATACAAGTCTTCATTGGCGCAACCATATGGATCCTTAATTGTCATATTTTGCGCTTCAACACACATTTACTTTGCATCAGTTAATTTTAGAGGAGCTCCAGCCTAGAGAAGTCGATGGCATTTCTAGAGGTGGCTGACATATGTACCACTCTACATAGTACAGTCTTAACTTGCATTGTGTATGCAGTGACAAACAGCGTTCATTCACAATGATTTGTCAAAGTATTCCCGAGCAGTAATGCAGCATGCTGGTTGTTAATACAGTGCCATCTGAGGGACAGAGATTTTTCAAAGATTGTTTACTGATGCATTTTTGGCAGAGTGGTGAGCTTTGACCCATGCTCATAAAGAACTGGGCCTTTTCTGGATGCTCTTTTTATACCCAAACATGATTACATCACATCTTTAAGAATATTTCAGAGCATTTGACAATGTTCCTAGTCTTTAATTTCCCCTGTCCCCTTTTGAAATGTGTTACAAGCATCAGTTTCAGAATGAGTGTATATTTACAAAAAAACAATTAAGTTGATAAAAAACCCAATAGCTTGTCATTGTACTGGTTCAATGTCAAAGTGGATTCACAAATCACTGCTTTCTATTTTTATTTGCATTTCACATACTGTCCCATCTTTCTTGAAAAGAGGTTTGTAAACAGATAATTACAGAATATTTTTTCTTTTAATAACTTATTTAAACTTGTTTAATTTGCTATTTATTGGCTTGGTCTGTGTTTGTGTGTTACCCTGCTCCGTTCTCTGCCTCTCTATAATCCTCAATGGCCAGTCTGAGTTTCCGGCGGTGCATCGGGCTGGTGATTCCCAATCCCACCTCCAGATCCTCATCTGTCAGCCCCAGCAGGACCTGCAGCAGGAAGTTACCAACACTGAGCTTAAAACAACGCAGAAACCACACACACCCATCTATAATCCTGCTGCAACCTCTGCTTTAATCAGCTACAGCAAATATTCACACCCAGGAACAAATGAGACCATTAAACTGAAAGGTGAAGTTTTAAGCTAATTGTTACAGCTCTGATGGTCTGTATGCAGGTCCACACTTCAATTCCTCATTGTCATATTTATATAACTTACATAATAGTTTCATAGAAGTTACTGAATAATTCATAATAAGTACTGAACAGGCTTAATTGGGCCGTATTCTAAAGAAGAAGAACATTATTATTTGAAGTTCAATGAACTAAACATTCCAGGTTAAACTGATTACTTACTTTATTTAAATTTAAATTTATTTAAATGTAAAATTGTTTACAGTGCATGTACATGTGCTCAAGCTTGATGGGCAGTCTTTTTTATACATGGATTGGAGAGTAAGAGTTATGTTTTGAAACTTTAACAATATTTACAAATGTTTTTATAAAAAATAAAATAAAATAAAAAAGCAAGGAAGGTTTGGTTTTCCAAAGCCCTCTAAGATTAATAACTGAATACCAGACCAGCAGTTTAAGAGGTTAAGGTTGTCAGCTTGCAATTTAGAGGTGGAAGCATTACACAAAACCCAAAGAGTCACCAAAAATTGTTATTAGTAATAATGTGGTTCTGTTGGCATCCTAAACAGCCACTCCAGTGCCATACCTTTCCACTCTTCACATTCTCAGAGCAGGCTCGGATATACATGGGCATAGCCATGACAACCTCGAGCCACGCCTGGACGGTTCCAGCCTTCCACAGTGAGATGGGCCTGGTGCGGGTGATCTCGGCCTGCTGCAGCCGCTCCAGCTGCTCCTCGCCGTCCGACAGGCTGGGCTGCGTCAGGCTTGACAGGCTGTCCGAGTCTGGAGTGGTCAGCAGGAGGGAGGGTTTAAAGGTGGGTTTCAGGGTTCAGATAGATCGAGAGTAAAAACAGAACCTCATCTGTTCTGCATAAGCATGTAAAATGCATTGATGTATCAAACTGAAGGTAAAGATTCAACTGCACCATGTAATAATCATGTAAATCATCGTAATAACATTTAATAAAGTACAGAGCTTTTGGGCAAGTTTTTTTTTCAAACTTGGTATTGGCTTTATTGTTGATATCCCACTACTGTATAAACAGTTCCTGCAGTCTTATTTGTGCATTCAGGGCCTGATGTACTAAGCCTTTTTCTTAGTACAAATCGGATGCATTCTGCCTGCATGTTATGTAGATGGTGTACAAGCCTAGAGCAAAGTTTATGGCCCATGTGTATGGTAAAACGCAAAATACGGTTCTATTACTTATTCCACTTAATAAAGTTTGAGCTACTTGCATAGAATTTCATCCACCCAGAGAAGATTCATGAAGCAAAAGCTGCTATGTTAAAACATTTTCGAGGAACATGGTCATATGGTTTTGGCGAGAGATAGACAACAGAGCTCTGAGGTCCATTCACAGCTGCAGGACATTTAGGACATTTCAACAAACTTAACAATAATATTGTACCCCTTTAATGATCACAGTAAACTTGTAGCCATTTTTGTGATTGCCAGGGTCTTGTGACTATTTTCAGCCATAATATGCATTTTCTAATGTTGAGTTTCTAAATTTAGAAAAAATAGTTCTGTTTCAGCCTTGATCAGCTGGCTGCCGTGTCTTTCTGCACAGTCTGCGGCTGTTGCCCCGGGAGACAGTGGAGGGATGAAGTGGATGACGCAAAACTGAAATAGGAAAGGTTATGCCTCCACTGTTTAAAATCACCAACAACAGTGGTTAGATGGAGGCACAAGCCTCAAAAATGTTTGCCACCAGAAAAAAAAAAACTCTTGGAACCGACTGTATATACATTTGTATGCAAAAATTTGGCCGCTCCTTGTCAAATTACATGCCTTGTTGAGATAATACGTCCTCTACAGAGAACACACCTGTGTACAAGTTAAGGCACATTTATATTTTATTTTTTTCCAACATGTTAAACTCAAAAAATTAAATATTGCACTAAATTTTGCAGAAAAATGCCATATTTAAGTTTGTTCCCTGTAGAGGATGTGTACTAATTTTCAAAACCAATAAAACATGCACTTTGACCAGGGATATTCAAATTTTTGCATTTGACAGTATATGAGAAGACTTGGTGCAAAATGTGCCGTGATGTGGATGCAATATGCGTGTGCAGTCCATGTTATCATTTAGCAAACTCTATTTTATTACCTGCAGTAAAATAACACTCCTGTACATGGGAATTACTCTTTATCTCTTCGTCACTGAACTTGTCTTTTCTGTTTAATCTCCAGCTTGTTTCGGCTCCATTATTTCACTACCTCTTTTAAACCCTGCGTCTAGGAAGTTAGTAGTTGGTGGGTGTGCTGTGCCTTCACTTGTACGTACAATACATCTGGCCCTCTGTGTTTTTAAACATCATTCTGAATTTTGACAAAATTATCAAACCAAACGGAATTGAATCATGATGAAATCTGAGATTTCAGTAGGTACTGATTCCTAAAGAATCAAACTGAATCAAGTCATTACGAGGTCAGAGGTTTACACCACTAGATAATTGATTTGATTTTATAATGATTCTTTAGGACATGATTCAATGCATCGTAGCATCTCAAATTTAGTTTGGCCAAAGAATAAGCACATTCCTCTAAGTGTAACTGATTCTAACATTCCAAAATCGATGCAGTTGAATCACTGCCTAAAGACTGATGCAGTTTGCACCCTGCAGGCAAAAGCTATTAGAAATCGTGGCTGTTTCTGCAGAGTTTGGGCTTCAGAACGTCAGATGGTTTGAGTCATCTGGCATTAGAGACATAACAAAAGGGAGGAAGTGAGTCATGCTGTAATTTCAGAGGGAATCACAGCGTGCTGTGGCCGACAGTGAGGCGGTTAATGGCGGCCCTAATTCACCACAGATACACTCTCCGGCTCATAACCACTTCCACATGTGTTATAGCCTCAACCCTGACCACTTCCCTTGCCCACTTCCCCTTTCTGCACTTTCATTCTGAACATGACTCACTCACATCACTTTGGAAAGCCATTTTAGCCTTCTTCACAGTTTCTAGAGATCAGAAATTCAATTTTCACAAGTAAAGATTACATTTTGACATGCTTGCAATTGTTACCTGGGCAAGATAAAGCCTAGAATGTAAGAATAGAAAGCGTTATTTTTACATGGTAGAACGGAATGCTTGTAATGACTCATTTTCACTTGTAAATCAATTTAAACGTTTAATTTAAACGTTCAATTTAAATGTTTTAATTAGAATGTCAATAGGTTAAAGTGTGATATCAAGAAATCATGGTCTCATGACCCTGATTAACAATTGTGGATGGAGGCCAAGGAAAATGACAGCTTTTCTCTCTTTTTTCCTCTGCAGCTGCATTCAGGGTGTGAATTACACTGGGGATTTGGGGGGGGGGGTCAACCCTCTCTTTTAGACTAACTTAGCAAAGAAAGTAAAATATGTTCCCTTATACCATAGCAGTGCGTTGACTTTTCAGTTTAAGTAGGCTAGGTTACTTGTGTGTTACTTAAGTATATGACCCTGGCTATCCTGCATCTTTAGCTGGCAAACTTATCGTCAAACATACCATTATGTTATCAGCTACCTCTGCCACCAGTAGTGCCCAATCCTGGTCTTGGAGAGTTTAGATCCAACACACCTGGCTCTGATATTCAGAGGCCCCTGTCATTACCTCAATCAGGTGTGTTAGACTCTGTTTCATCTTACTTGTATCTGAGTTGTAACCTGAAAAGATCTTAACCACATGCATTTACCCTGGTAGTCAAAGGTGTTATGCGGTATGTGTTATACGCAAATCAGCTCCGAAACAGCAACCGATTGCTGGCATTTTCCTCGTTTTTCCTGGTCTATTTAAAAAAATAGTTACCACGTCTGATGCTGTTATCCATTTTCTTACACTGGCTTTACACCGACATTTGTAAAAATATGGCTGTTATTGATAAGTAGCCTCCAGTATTATTTTTTAGGGTCATGGACCATCTACGTTAAGCTGTATTGTTGCTAGACAGTGAATGAAATGGCATGAAATTATTGAATGTGGCTTGGAGAAACAGATGCATATACACTTGTACACTTGTGACCACCTGGTGGTTTGAGCATTTTAAACATAAATTTAAATTTAAACATTTAAAATGCACCTTGGGTGTGTTTACACCTGCATTTTTGTGTGGATAATTTCTATCTGAATAAATTCCTGGCACTTAAGACGCATGAAATGACCAGATGCAAACAGGGTCTTAAATAAAATTGGAGCTAAACTCTACAGCGTGGTAGATTTCCTGGACAAGGATTGGGCAAACCTGATGAACTTGTAATATTACAGAAAGGACAGTGCAGACCTGCGCCATCTGCTGGCTACATTAAAACATTTTACTTTGCACTTCATTTTGCCATTAGGAAATGGCACACTGCCCAGAGGAAAACAGGTTAAAAACGCTTAAAGCTAGAACTTGTGAAACCATCATACAAGCACAAACGCTGTGAATATCCTGCTGAAAAAAATCAAAGAGACCATTAAAACTTTCTTCTGGGTCCTGGTGGTGTCCAATAGTCAGCAGTGGGATTTTGTGTTTTCCTGATGGGTTGACATCGCAATGTAAAGGATTCTAATAGTTTAAGAGCTGTTCCTGGACTGATTCCAGATGCATTTGGTGGCTTCCTAATGGGATCTAAAGGTGTCCTACTGGACACTAGTGGTCTCTCATAGTAAACATTGAGGCAATTCCTATTGGAACAGCAAAACAAAAAGAAGATTTAATCCTAATGCTTCTAATGATCTTTTTTCAAGTGGGAATATAGGAGCAGAAGATTTTGCTGGGCAATATAACTATAAATTTCAATATAAGTCAATGTAACAAGATCTTTTTCTGAGGTTTTGTTCCGACAGCAACAATGCACGTCTGAAAATGGGGGTGACACTGCACACTATGCTGTACTAACTGTATTGTTCTGCACCTCAAATTCATTATTAATCTGCATTTTGAGCAGGAACAGAAGGTAATCAGCTCTCTGAGTTTGTATGTGTGCCCATATAGGGAGCTCAGGGCTTAAGCTGATTTTGTCTATAGAAAAAATAATAATGGCACTTTTAAATAGTGCTGCTATTGCACTCTGTGGTTAAAAATGTTCCAAAGCTAATACATTTCATCTACATTTTTCCCCCAAATGTCAGTGAGTACACTGAATTATGAGGTCGTTAAGTAGAATACAACATGCTACAAGCTAACATTCCTATGCATTTATTTGATGTAACATAAGTTATGTGAAAGTAAGGCTATAACTACCTGCAACGTTCTTGAAAAGTCAGTGGGAGATGACAAGACAACTATATTTCTGTTCGGTGATTTTCTGTTTCTGGACACTCCAGAATTCAAGTGCTGCATTGCACATGATTCAAATATGAAGTTCTGTTGTTGGATTTCACAACAATTTGCTTAGAAAGTACACATTCAACTGTGTGCCTGCTGCTTACTCACAGCATACTGTTAAGTTAAAGTAAGAAATTTACCTGGTAATGGAAAAGTGAGAGAGTGAGCAGCATAAACTACTTAAGTCACTTAATTCCTACTTAATTCCTAGTGTTCATTGGGTCATCTTAACAGGTAGATTCTCTAGCATTGTGGTAAATGTAAGATTAACATTATAGATCGACTAGATCAACATTATAACACTCTGTAGTCCAAAAATGATTAAAATTACTACCACAGGTTGGTAGCTGGTGAAGTTAGCATTACGCAGTATGCTAGCAAATCTTACATTTACTTTCCCACACTGGCTTTAATACTGCTTATGGCTGCTCTAACTTAAAGGGAAATTCTACAGGTTTGTCTGCATAATTAAATCCTTA